GTAGTTATCCTATGTTTACATTGGTTGTACGGCTCCACGTGCTGTCATCGAAGCGCAACGGAGAGCTAGCGACACGGTCACTTTGATGCATAAATATATATTGTCATGCAACTCACTGTCGCAGTTGTAGTAGCATATCTATATAGTTATGCAAAACAATATGTAAAGCGCCCCAAATACTTGCATTAGTCCGTTCTATACTGATTTCTGAAAAAGCGCGTTTGTTTACAAACAAGAGAAAAGTCCGGTCACGTGATATGCAAATTAGCCTGTGGCAGTGGTGTTATGCTGAGTCACCACTGCGACGGAGTCTGACTCATGAACGTCAACTTCGCGATCATGTGATCGACCTCTCGTCCAATGGAAAAGCCGTATATCGTGTAAACGTCAAATTAAAAAATTATATCCACGTGTCTAAAACCTAACCTCACATATCCAGGTAAGTGAACCCCTAACCTCATATCAAGGTGTGGAAACCCCTTATCTCATATCCAGGTGTGTAAACCCTAACATCATATCCAGGTGTATAAACCCCTAACATCATATCCAGATGTGTAAGCCCCTAACTTCATATCCAGGTGAGTAAACCCCTAACATCATATCCAGGTGTGTAAGCCCTAACATCATATCCAGGTGTATAAACCCCTAACCTCATATCAAGGTGTATAAACCCCCAACCACATATCCAGGTGTCTAAACCCCTAACCTCATATCCAGGTGTGTAAACCCCTAACCTCTGGTCCAGATGTGTAAACCCCTAACATCATTTCCAGGTGTGTAAACCCCTAACATCATATCCAGATGTGTAAACCCCTGACATCATATCCAGGTGTGTAAACCCCATACATCATATACAGGTAGTAAACCCCTAACATGATATCCTTGTGTGTAAACCCCTAACATCATATCCAGGTGTGTAAACCCCTAATCTCATATCCAGGTGTGTAAGCCTCTAACATCATTTCCAGGTGTGTAAAACCCTGACATCATATCCAGGTGTGTAAAACCCTGACATCATATCCAGGTGTGTAAACCCCTGACATCATATCCAGGTGTGTAAACCCCTTACATCATATCCAGGTGTGTAAGCCCCTAACATCATATCCAGGTGTGTAAACCCCTAACCTCATATCAAGGTGTGTAAACACCTAACCCGCTATCCAGGTGTGTAAACCCCTAACCCGCTATCCAGGTGCATAAACCCCTAACATCGTATCCAGGTATGTAAACCCTTACATCATATCCAGGTGTATAAACCCCTAACATCATATCCAGGTGTGTAACCCCCAACCATTAAATCCAGGTGTGTAAACCCCTAACTTCATATCCTGGTGTGTAAGCCGCTACCATCATATCCAGGTGTGTAAACCCCTAACCTCATATCCAGGTGTGTGAACCCCTAACCTCATATCCAGGTGTGTAAACCCTAAAATCATATCCAGGTGTATAAACCCCTAACATCATATCCAGGTGTGTAACCCCCTACCATCATATCCAGGTGTGTAAACCCCTAACTTCATATCCTGGTGTGTAAGCCATTAACATCATATCCAGGTGTGTAAACCCCTAACCTCATATCCAGGTGTGTAAACCCCTAACCTCATATCCAGGTGTCTAAACTCCTATCCTCATATCCAGGTGTGTACACCCCTAACATCATATCCAGGTGTGTAAGCCCCTAACATCATATCCTGGTGTGTAAACCCCTAACCCGCTATCCAGGTGTGTAAACCCCTAACCTCATATCCAGGTGTGTAAACCCCTAACATCATATCCAGGTGTGTAAACCCCTAACCCGCTATCCAGGTGCGTAAACCCCTAACATCGTATCCAGGTGTGTAAACCCTAACATCATATCCAGGTGTATAAACCCCTAACATCATTTCCAGGTGTGTAACCCCCTACCATCATATCAACGTGTGATAACCCCTAACTTCATATCCAGGTGTGTAAGCCGCTAACATCATATCCAGGTGTGTAAACCCCTAACCTCATATCCAGGTGTTTAAACCCCTAACATCATATCCAGGTGAGTAAAACCCTAACATCATATCCAGGTGTGTAAATCCCTAACATCATATCCAGGTGTGTAAACCCCTAATCTCATATTCAGATGTGTAAACCCCTAACATCATTTCAATGTGGTTTAAACCCCCAACCTCAGATCCAGGTGTGTAAACCCCTAACATCATATCAAGATGTGTAAACCCCTAACATCATATCCAGGTGTGTAACCCCCTACCATCATATCCAGGTGTGTAAACCCCTTACATCATATCCAGGTGAGTAAAACCCTAACATCATATCCAGGTGTGTAAATCCCTAACATCATATCCAGGTGTGTAAACCCCTAATCTCATATTCAGATGTGTAAACCCCTAACATCATTTCAATGTGGTTTAAACCCCCAACCTCAGATCCAGGTGTGTAAACCCCTAACATCATATCAAGATGTGTAAACCCCTAACATCATATCCAGGTGTGTAACCCCCTACCATCATATCCAGGTGTGTAAACCCCTAACTTCATATCCTGGTGTATAAGCCGCTAACATTATATCCAGGTGTGTAAACCCCTAACCTCATATCCAGGTGTGTGAACCCCTAACCTCATATCCAGGTGTCTAAACTCCTAACCTCATATCCAGGTGTGTTAACCCCTAACCCCATATCCAGGTGTGTAAACCCCTAACATCATATCAAGGTGTGTAAACCCCTAATATCATATCCTGGTGTGTAAACCCTAACATCATATCCAGGTGTGTAAACCCCTAACATCATATCCAGGTGTGTAAACCCCTAATCTCATATCCAGGTGTGTAAACCCTTAATATCATATCCTGGTGTGTAAACCCTAACATCATATCCAGGTGTGTAAACCCCTAACATCATATCCAGGTGTGTAAACCCCTAATATCATATCCAGGTGTGTAAACCCTAACATCATATCCAGGTTTGTAAACCCCTAACATCATATCCAGGTGTGTAAACCCCTAATATCATATCCTGGTGTGTAAACCCTAACATCATATCCTGGTGTGTAAACCCCTAACATCATATCCAGGTGTGTAAACCCCTAACATCATATCCAGGTGTGTAAACCCCTAATATCATATCCTGGTGTGTAAACCCTAGCATCATATCCAGGTGTGTAAACCCTAACATCATATCCAGGTGTGTAAACCCCTGACATGATATCCAGGTGTGTAAACCCCTGACATGATATCCAGGTGTGTAAACCCGCGATATTTATAGGCCCTTCAATTAAGCTTTCTGCACACCCACACCTGTATATGTCGTATTTAAATGGACAGAATATCGACGTCAATAATTACCGTAAAAACACGCATTTAGCCTTAATCATGCCTTCATAACATACCTTGATTCTGAAAGGACGAAAACTATAGTTACTGCAATGACGTCCATCACCTTAATTATAAAATTATATTTGAAATGATAGTGACGCGCCGACAATATTTGTTGGTTACCTTGGCAACACGAGCGCGTCACTATCATAATACGCGTTTATCCTCATCGTCTGCCCATAAGTGATGAGAGTAAGATAGATACTGACAAGCATGTTCGATTGATTCTCTGTTAGTTTCAGCACGACCAGGGTTTGGGCATCGATCATCTCACTGTACAGGCGGAATACATGCGTGTTTGTGTAGCTACGTACATGACATATACATTTCAGTAATTATGTTTAATGATGCAGGGACGTTATTATGATCTATGGATACAACAATATAATGCTAATGTACCTATTTTGCAATAGAAATCAAGTAGTTAGGGATTCCTGTCGGCATTGCTTTGATTAAAACGAGTAAAATTATTTCTTTTAATTGAATGACTATTATTATAGAGGGAGGTGAATAACATTTTTTACATTTTGTATATATACTAACGACAGTAAAGGAACTAATAATTTGAATCGAGCTATCGTTGAGGTGTACATTAGTTGCATTTGAACGCAACATCTTGTCACACTGAAATTTCACATCCTGCATGAACGTGCTCACAGAAGAAAAAGTGATAGGGACGTCAATATACCTTGTTGCCCGAATGTTTGGCAAATAACAAAAGTGTAATTTCTCGACCGTGGAACAAGTACCGCTACACGGGTGGGGGTGTATGAGACCCGGGCGTGGCAGGCCTACAAAACGACACCTGGACAAGATCGTCTCATTACCTTAATTGCGCTACGCAATAGATTCAAATCTATAGAGAATAGAGAATTCCAAGAGAGAATCATGACCACAACCACCACCACCACCACCACCACCATCATCATCATCATCATCATCATCATCATCATCATCATTATTATTATTTATCAAAGAATGTCAATTAGGTGTACTCAAATTATGTTAGGTGATAACTAAATTACACTAACTATATATTTCCATATCAAAGAGCCATTATCCTGTATTTGTTTCCTGACGAAACACATTTGTATTGCTCGAATAGTGAAATACCCATACAGAAATAGAGATCCAGAAATCGTGCATGTAGTGACGTAACTATTCAGCATCAATAGTTATTGAAGTACTCTCCATCATCTGATCTATCAGGTGATCTTAACCGCGTGTCCATGTGGAGGATCATGCAGTGTTTGTATGTCAACTTTCCATCAGTTATAGGTGGCATTTTAGACAATAAAAAAAAGGTCAATATTGGATATTTCCAAAATATACACAGAGGTTGGGAATATATGAAAATATCGGGGTGGTGCTTAAAACGTGTAGCTGCAACTGTTTTGACGAAGGTCAAAGGGCTGTATGAAGGAACAGTGTTTAAGTAAAGAGTAATATGTACGTGTAACTGCACATTGCTGTCGCCTGAATTCATTGGCCTGGGTGAAGGAACAGTGTTCCAGTAAATCTAACATGTAATTGTAACTTAACATGGAGTTACATATCGCTACAGGCCAAATGCCATGTGAAGTTTACTGAGGAAACACTATTTGAAATTCTGGACTTCACCTTGGTAACATGTAAACTTTGAGAGTAAGACCTTTAGGCAAGAAATAGGCATTCCCCATGTGCACCAATTGTGCTTCCCTTCTTGCAGATTTGTTTTTATGCTTATAAATCTGAACTTCTCGGATTGGCAAAGTCAAAATAATGAAATTTAGCATGAGCGTGTAACTGCACACCGAGTTGTCGCCATAGGCCAAAGGGTTGTGTGTAGGTTTTACAGAACAAGGAAACATGTAGAAGCTTACCACTTTGTTTATACACAAACTATTTGTTTATTACGTGTATCAATCTTGCAGCTGACAAGTACACCAGGTTTCACACAGGACACTATTATTTCGACATCTAGACCTCGACTGAGAATGGACACCAAACACTCCAGCGATGGACATCATGTGCACCGATCTACGCAGTTGGGATACGATGACTGGCATCAGTTAAATCAGCGAGCCTGACCACGCGATCCCGTTAGTCGCATGGGTTGCTAAAGCGCAATACCAACCCGGATCTTCACAGGGGGTAACACAAGGTCTCTTAATGAGTTAACTATAAGGAATCGTAGTTCTCAGTATTGGTTTATGAACATATGTTTGCTTACCAACCTTTTATACAATTTAGTCCTTACAATACACCAATCATTACTTTATATTAATAATATTAGAATAGAATAGAAGACTATGAGAAAATGAATAGGAGCAAACCCATGTTCATTACATAACCTAGATAACCATCACAGAACGGTTGCATAGACACGAACACACATTCTTATTTTATAATATTACTATAGCAGTTACTATGTCCAATGTGGACTGAATGTCATTAGCTTCTAAATCCTGTTAGGAACATTTAAAATAGGAGTTAGGTTCGGCTAAGTTGGCAGTCCCAGCATTGTTGATCCAAATCGTTCGAACATCATCTTCCCGAGACAAGGGAGTTAACTGACTATAAAAGTCCAGTTTGCGCCCTTGCCGAACTTGGCTGGAATTATGGAGTTATATTTTGGCTGGACTAACGAGTCTATGTATAATCCAATGAAAACGACACCGAGTTCGTATGCTGACATGCAGATTTCGGTTGATTGCAGGATTTCAAAGGCATGTGTACCATCAACTCTGCGTTGACAGATATTTTCCAAATTATTTCATATTTTTAATCAAGGTTCTCATGTAATTTGATGCACTTCGCGAGGTAAGACGCCTTTTTTACAATATAGGTCTTGGTTATCGATCAGATAGTCTTGACTGGGCGCCGCAATTTTGTTTGAAGCAAATACAAATAGTATTATAGGTGGATTCTGATTAGTCAGTAGGAGGGACATAACTCGTAATAGTCACTGGTGGTTGGTTCTACGATCGAGCCACGAAATTCCACCCAAGTTCGACAAGGGTAGAAACTGGATTTTTGTAGTCAGTTAACTCTCTTGCCTCCGGAAGATGTGTAAACACAAAGTCTTGTATAGGTATATCAATCCGTTTCATGATTTGATAAAATGACTCATTTTCACACAAGGCACTAAAAACATGGGACCTTCGTTAATCTGAAAAAGCCTGCTTTCCAAGCGATTACTGTTGGGAACATCTAAAAATATACAAAGGACATTTCTCTGTACCATTGGCACGTGAGTTTCGTTAATCCGAACAGTTACCGTCCGGATTAACGAGGTTTCACGTGACAAGCGAACATCCTGGCAATTGTTCCTCCTCGTCGCCCCTCCTTCCCACAGTCTATAGGGCCCCTGCTGACGACTCGCAGTCTGATGTTTCAAGTTCATTCCTCATATCCAGAGTTAGATCGACATCTTTGAAACTGAGAGGGGAATCAGCGAAGACGTCATCAACCATGACCTGATCGTCGGTAGGTGGCCATTTCACAACATTTCCAGGAGAATGGCGGTCCTTGAAAACGACATAAAACGTCTCCTTCTCCACAGGACTTGTGACCTCTTCGGGGTCGGACAGACTTTGGTACAAGGGAGACGGACTGATAGGTGTCTGTATGTCATGGTCGACAGACAGGTCATCGAGGCTGATGTTAAGAGGAGAATGAATGTTATAGTTTGGTACCGCTAAAAGGTTTCCAGCGTTGTGTTTTAGGTCATGTTTGCGTGTTTCTTCCCCGACCACAAACATACCTGCTGAAGTAACATCTGGAGTGGGGGATGGAACTGGTGTGTCCATTTTATAAATATTTTTTTCAATTTTCCTTTTTATGTCGTTTAAGGATTGGTCCTGGTTGATGGGATCCCACACTGTGGCATTCCGGTAGCCGTTGATGAGCATGAGAACGATGTCACAGGAATCGCGGTGGACGAGCGGATGCTTCCTGTAAGAACTGACCTCTTGGGCGGAAAGTGGCCGAAGACTTGGTAACGCGCTTGCTTGTCTTTGGTCCGACCTCAAATTACTCCCCAACGATGGCGTGACACTATGCGAAAACTTATCAGCACATCTACGTCTGTTTGATTTGATTTGATTTTCAAATGTGTACATGATCACAGAATCTGGCAGAGGGCTCGGCAATTTGAACCCTGGCGGTTTCACGAACACTGTCGGAATGTCCATTGTCCAGGCAGCGGAGAGATCGCGGTAGCTAGATGGATTAAAAACACTCTCTTGGCTCATTAAAAATAAGAAGATTTCACAGTCTGACAACGATTGACAAAGCTTGTGCGCGGAATAGTTGCTGGGCACTTTAGCTTGAATGCTGTATTCCTCTTTCAGTTCAGATGTCAGTTTAGAAAATGGGGACATAAGAACATCAGACTGCGACTGACCACTGATATAAAGTTTCGTTTTTCTCTGATTGAAATCAGAATCTTTTATCAGATCATCAATATCATCATCAAGGTCGTTTGTAACAGAAATGATCGGAATAGGTGGAGGTTTGACCTTGGCTGTACTCTGACCCCTACGGGACTTCCGGTCGTCCGTTTTGTCGAGAGGCACTTTCTTGATTTTTTTAGTGTCGTCGGATACAACGTAGGGTTTGAGGAACTCCCAGAATACGTCCATACAACTGTCCTGTATAAGACTTGGGTAGATGTCAAGGAGGCTTATCGCCGTGTTCAGAGTCTCCTGGTTCTTGCGCATCCATGCTAGCGCTCCGCGAAATGTGGGCCAGAAGCTGTGCAATTGCTGGGACCTATGCCGCTGAACGTAAGGCAACTTTCGACGGCGGCGGTCCTGCATGTGCTTGTAAAAGTTCATTCTGTTTTCAAGATTTTGCACAAATTCAGACGTCATTAAAAATGTATGTATCAACTTCTCATTTTAATAAATCCTCCTGAAAGCAATGCCGGTATCCACACAGGATAGATATTTCTTTATAGGTAAGTGCACCCTTTATGGGTCATGAGTGTCCGCTTTTTTTGTCCCAGGCCCTTTCTTGTGTATAATCCTGAAACAGACGAAGACATATTTGGAGTAAGTGAGTGGGGTTAACATCGCTTTGAACAGTGTTTCAGTTATATCATGACGTGTCTACGTCATGTGGGGGTAAAAAGTGATGATTATCTTATACGTTTACCACGGGTATGCAGCATGGTATGGAGCAAACAAACCTAGTGCTAACCGAGATTCGAACCTACTATCTTAGGTTTCTGGCACGTCTGGCGAACTGCGGCGTCTTAGCCAACTGGACAAATCATTATGAAACTAAAGAATAATGCTTAAAAAATCTTGCAAATATTGCAAAAGTAACAAAACAAAACTTATTTTGTATTAAGTGATGAAATTACTACACTTTATTTATCGCCACATATGAATAGTTATTTCGCCCGGATCTACAAGCACACACTACATTCTTATGATCACATACACACACCCTCTGCAACACAATCACACACTACATACCCATGATCACATACACACAACCTCTTCAACACAATCACACACTACATACCCATGATCACATACACACACCCTCTTCAACACAATCACACACTACATACCCATGATCACATACACACACCCTCTTCAACACAATCACACACTACATACCCATGATCACATACACACACCCTCTTCAACACAATCACACACTACATACCCATGATCACATACACACACCCTCTGCAACACAATCACAAGCTACATACTCATGACCACATACACACACCCTCTGCAAACCAATCACACACTACATACTCATGATCACATACACACACCCTCTGCAACACAATCACAAGCTACATACTCATGACCACATACACACACCCTCTGCAAAGCAATCACACACTACATACCCATGATCACATACACACACCCTCTGCAAACCAATCACACACTACATACTCATGATCACATGCACACACCCTCTGCAACACAATCACACACTACATACCCATGATCACATACACACACCCTCTGGAAAGCAATCACACACTACATACCCATGATCACATACACACCCTCTGCAACACAATCACACACTACATACCCATGATCACATACACACACCCTCTGCAAACCAATCACACACTACATACTCATGATCACATACACACACCCTCTGCAACACAATCACACACTACATACCCATGATCACATACACACACCCTCTGCAAACCAATCACACACTACATACTCATGATCACATACACACACCCTCTGTAACACAATCACAAGCTACATACTCATGACCATATACACACACCCTCTGCAACACAATCACACACTACATACTCATGATCACATACACACACCCTCTGCAACACAATCACAAGCTACATACTCATGACCACATACACACACCCTCTGCAACACAATAACACACTACATACCCATGATCACATACACACACCCTCTGCAACACAATCACACACTACTTACTCATGATCACATACACACACCCTCTGCAACACAATCACAAGCTACATACTCATGATCAGATACACACACCCTCTGCAACACAATCACACACTACATACCCATGATCACATACACACACCATCTGCAACACAATAACACACTACATACTCATGATCACATACACACACCCTCTGCAACACAATCACACACTACATACCAATGATCACATACACACACCCTCTGCAACACAATCACAAGCTACATACTCATGACCACATACACACACCCTCTGCAACACAATCACACAGTTCATACCCATGATCACATATACACACCCTCTGCAACACAGTCACAAGCTACATACTCATGATCACATACACACACCCTCTGCAACACAATCACAAGCTACATGCTCATGACCACATACACACACCCTCTGCAACACAATCACAAGCTACATACTCATGACCACATACACCCACCCTCTGCAACACAATCACAAGCTACATACTCATGATCACATACACACACCCTCTGCAACACAATCACAAGCTACATACTCATGATCACATACACACACCCTCTGCAACACAATATCACACTACATACCCATGATCACATACACACCACCTCTGCAACACAATCACACACTACATACCCATGATCACATACACACACCCTCTGCAACACAATCACACACTACATACCCATGATCACATACACACCACCTCTGCAACACAATCACACACTACATACCCATGATAACATACACACACCCTCTGCAACACAATCACACACTACATACTCATGATCACATACACACACCCTCTGCAACACAATCACACACTACATACCCATGATCACATACACACACCCTCTGCAACACAATCACACACTACATACCCATGACCACATACACACCCCCTCTGCAACACAATCACAAGCTACATACTCATGACCACATACACATTCCCCTCTGCAACACAATCACAAGCTACATACTCATGACCACATACACACACCCTCTGCAACACAATCACACACTACATACCCATGACCACATACAACCCCCCTCTGCAACACAATCACAAGCTACATACTCATGACCACATACACACCCCCTCTGCAACACAATCACAAGCTACATACTCATGATCACATACACACACCCTCTGCAACACAATCACACACCACATACCCATGATCACATACACACACCCTCTGCAACACAATCACACACTACATACCCATGATCACATACACCCACCCTCTGCAACACAATCACACACTACATACCCATGATCACATACACCCCCCCCCCCCCCTCTGCAACAAAATCACACACTACATACTCATGACCACATACACACCACCCCCCCCCCCCCCCCCTCCTCCTCTGCAACACAATCACAAGCTACATGCTCATGACCACATACACACACCCTCTGCAACACAATCACTAGCTACATACTCATGATCACATACACACACCCTCTGCAACACAATCACAAGCTACATACTCATGATCACATACACACACCCTCTGCAACACAATCACACACTACATACCCATGATCACATACACACACCCTCTGCAACACAATCACACACTACATACCCATGATCACATAAACACACCCTTTGCAACACAATCACACACTACATATCCATGATCACATACACACACCCTCTGCAACACAATCACACACTACATACTCATGACCACATACACACACCCTCTGCAACACAATCACACACTACATACCCATGATCACATACACACACCCTCTGCAACACAATCACACACTACATACTCATGATCACATACACACACCCTCTGCAACACAATCACACACTACATACCCATGACCACATACACACACCCTCTGCAACACAATCACACACTACATACCCATGACCACATACACACACCCTCTGCAACACAATCACACACTACATACCCATGACCACATACCTCCCCCCCCCCCCCCCCCCCCCCCCTCCTCTCCATCACATTCACCCGGTTCATATACATGATCACATACCACAGTCATCACCACCATCATCAGTCATCACCACCCTCTCCATCATAATCAGACATTTCAATTCGATGACCACATACCCCTTCCCATCCTACTGCCATCAACTGTCCATTACTGAAGTCAGCGTACTGTTACCGATCAATACCCGCCTGCTTTTAAAGCCTAACAAAGAGGAATTATAGTCCCATTACTACCCACCACTCCGATTTATAGAAGCCTAATTAAAATCATCCACACAACATCTCTCCCTGTGCTTGGATACTTAGATGCGTGTGGGATACAGTCGATGGTGCAATTGGTTCATGAAATATTGGAAAACATTATATGGCTTTTCACAAAGTCCTTGTTTGTGCAACGTTGGTTTCCATGACGGGTGTGAAAGGTATATGAACAGTATATCACAGCAAACACTTCGTATCTCGTAGCCCAATGCTCCACAGCATTATGAGCACAGTAGCAGTAATAATCAGCCCACATCTACATCACGAACAACTCCATACGGAGGTGTCGCGTCCTCCGTGAATATAGTGAATATGTCGTTTTTATCAATTACCTGATTTTAAATAAATATCACAAGTTTACAGAAATTATAACAGAAACCACAAAAATAGCGTTATTTCGGTCGATCGCTGGGACAATGAGATTAATCCAGGTAGAATCGTTTATTCAACACATAGATGTTGTTTGATCGCTTACCACTCAGATGAAACTGTTACAAACGCCGGTCTGAGAGGTTGGTTGGTTGGTTGGTTTGTTGTTTAACGCCGCACTCAGCAATATTCCAGCTATATGACGGCGGTCTGTAAATAATCGAGTATGGACCAGACAATCCAGTGATTGACGTCATGAGCATCGATCCACGCAATTGGGATCGATGACATGTATCAACCAAGTCAGCGAGCCTGATCACCCGATCCCGTTAGTCGCCTTTTACGACAAGCATAGTCGCCTTTGACGGCAAGCATGGGTTGCTAAAGACCCACTGTACCCCGGATCTTCACGGGTCCTCTGATAGGAAGCTGACAAAGCCATATGGGCGATTTGTTTCTTCACAAACAGTAAACTCTCACATCACAGGCTGGTTAACAAATCGTAAAGAAATACACACCTGTTCTCCAACAACGCAGTTATCCATTTGCTTTTCCTTGAACAAGGGTACTGTCAAAAATCTCCCTTAACAACACCTCGACACTGAATCCTTGTTGATTCACCGTCACGCCTTCAACATACAATAATTACTGCATGTACGCATCGTTCGTGAATAATATTCATTAATAAAACTGGTCTAAGTACACACACACATCGATATCCTACCAGAAAGTCTGGTTGTCCACTCAGTCAAAAAGCCATATCTGTCTGTCAGCCAAGTTGAAAATCTGCTGCGAATCCGCTGGTTTTGTGTATAACTACATTTGCGTTACCATGGCAATGCAATCGATTTGTCAGCCATGTAGGTAGGGTGGTCTGACTGAAAGGACAATAGATATCTAATTAACAGCAGTCCTTGCAAGTAGTTATCAAACACTCTCGAATACGTGCTAATGATGTGACTATATAGAATTACTTGTTGTGTTGGTTTCGGATTCTTTTATTGAAATAATTGGTCGGGATGTCGAAATACACATGGATATTGCCCCAATATTTAAAACATTAAAATTCCACTTTCTAATTATTATTTAATGTGCTTAAAATAGCAGGTAGGAAACTTATAAAGTGTCCTTGTGAGGTTTTTTTCATTTTTAACATATTTTATATAATTTATTTAGTTGATTGCGACAGTATTAAGTGAGGTTTTCTGTTAAATGTTACTTAGTCGGTAGAATTAAACACCCGCTGCTTTCTTTTTCGAGGATTAATTTGTTTGAAATAGACGGATTTTCCTTTTAAAAGGTTTCTGGCCCAATTTTCGAATTTAAGGCTGGCAGATCCGTCTAAACCAAGTATATATGTGCTTCAAGGTACCCGTGAAGATCCGGGATAGAATAGGTCTTCGGGAACCCATGCTTGTCATAAAAGGCGACTATATGCTTGTCGTAAGAGGCAACTAACGGGATCGGGTGGTCAAGGCTCGATGACTTGGTTGATATATGTCATCATGATGTCAATCACTGGATTGTCTGGTCCATACTCGATTATTTACAGACCGCCGTCATATAGCTGGAATAATGCTGAGTGCAGCTTAAACAATAAACTAACTACGAACTACCAAATATATGTGCAAGGCCTTGCATTTTGTACACGCAAACCACCTATAAAAAGGTGGTTATTATGACGGTAAGTGCCGCACGTTCTGTATTAATAACCTGACAGTTGATATAACAACAAGGGACTATAGTAATACAATAGCGATGCGTGTTAATTTATTCGACGGAACATTGCCTCAGTCCGTCTCGCTAACTGTATTCTTGATTGTATTTCATAATATGCAGAAGTTGATTCATTTACATGTGATGAGAAAAGTATTATGGTCATAACACTAGTCCTGCGCCATGACTGTGGAATTTATATTTCGAAAATATTATATTTTTACTGAAAGCATTGGCAAGTCTAGATTAAACTAACCAAGTCTAGTTTGCTTGATTCCACACCTATGATAACAGCATTAGAGGAAGGGTTCCTTCGAAGAAAAAAAATATGAAATTTTAAAGACATGTTTTCATTGTCTACCATAACACCTACACCATTTAGTTTGAAAAAAGGGGCGGTCGGGTAGCCGAGTGGTTAAAGCTTTCAGTCGTCACGCCGAAGACCCGGGTTCGATTTCCGACATGGGTACAATGCGTAAAGCCCATTTCTGGTGTCCCCCGCCATGATATTGCTGGAATATTGCTAAAAGCGGCGTAAAACCCAATGCACTCACTCACCCAGTTTGAAAATACGGTACCGGTGTTGGTTCATGTTATATTTTCTGAATGATTTGGCATCATGACAGTGATACATCCGAATGATACATCCACACTGGCATTTAACACATGCTATATTCATACGTTCTATGCGTTGATATTTTAATCCACTTTAAAATAATTGTGGCACTTGTTCTTTATATACTGTTTTATGAAATTAACCTCGTCCCACTTGGGGACTACCCCGCCGTGTTATCACGGGGAGAGAAGAAACTCTGGCACATATGATTCCAGTCGTTGAAACGCCACTTTCGTTGTCTGTTGGGTCAAACTGTATGATGTCGGTCCATCTTGCAGATAATGATTGGCATTGATTACCCAGATAAGCCAGATATATTATGATGTAGATCAATCCTGAAGGTAGTGATTAACCAGACATATTATGATGTTGATCAATCCTGAAGGTAGTGATCAACCAGACATATTATGATGTAGATCAATCCTGCAGGTAATGATTAACCAGTTAACCCAAACATATCATGATGTAGATCAATCCTGCAGGAAATGATTAACCAGATAACCCAAACATATTATGATGTAGATCAATCCTGCAGGTAATGATTAACCAGTTAACCCAAATATATCATGATGTAGATCAATCCTGCAGGAAATGATTAACCAGATAACCCAAACATATTATGATGTAGATCAATCCTGCAGGTAATGATTAACCAGATAACCCAAACATATTATGATGTAGATTAATACTGCAGAAAAAGATTACCCAGATAACCCAGACATATTATGATGTAGATCAATCCTGCAGGAAAAGATTACCCAGATAACCCAGACATATTACGATGTAGATCAATCCTGAAGGTAATGATTAACCAAACATATCATGATGTAGATCAATCCTGAAGGTAATGATTAACCAGATAACCCAGACATATCATGATGTAGATCAATCCTGAAGATAATGATTAACCAGATAACCCAGACATATCATGATGTAGATCAATCTTGTAGGTAATGATTAACCAGATAACCCAGACATATTATGATGTAGATAAATCCTGAAGATAATGATTACCCATATAACCCAGACTTATCATGATGTAGATCAATCCTGCAGGTAATGATTAACCAGACATACCATTATGTAGATCAATCTTGTAGGTAATGATTAACCAGATAACCCAGACATATTATGATGTAGATCAATCTTGTAGGTAATGATTGCCCATATAACCCAGACGTATTATGATGTAGATCAATCATGTAGGTAATGATTAACCAGACATATCATGATGTAGATCAATCTTGTAGGTAATGATTGCCCATATAACCCAGACGTATTATGATGTAGAACAATCCTGTAGGTAATGATTGCCCAGATAACCCAGACATATCATGGTGTAGATCAATCTTGTAGGTAATGATTGCCAATATAACCCAGACATACTACGATGTAGATCAATCCTGCAGGTAATGATTAACCAGACATATCATGATGTAGATCAATCTTGTAGGTACATGTAATGATTACCCAGATAACCCAGACATATTATGATGTAGATCAATCTTGTAGGTAATGATTGCCCATATAACCCAGACATATTATGATGTAGAACAATCCTGCAGGTAATGATTACCCAGACATATTATGATGTAGATCAATCCTGCGGGTAATGATTAACCAGATAACCGAAACATATAATGATGTAGATCAATCCTGAAGGTAATGATTACCCAGATAACCCAGACATATTATGATGTAGATCAATCCTGCAGGAAATGATTAACCAAACATATCATGATGTAGATCAATCCTGAAGGTAATGATTAACCAGATAACCCAGACATATCATGATGTAGATCAATCTTGAAGGTAATGATTAACCAGATAACCCAGACATATTATGATGTAGATCAATCCTGAAGGTAATGATTACCCAGACATATTATGATGTAGATCAATCTTGAAGGTAATGATTAACCAGATAACCCAGACATATTATGATGTAGATCAATCCTGAAGGTAATGATTACCCAGACATATTATGATGTAGATCAATCCTGAAGGTAATGATTAACCAAACATATCATGATGTAGATCAATCCTGAAGGTAATGATTAACCAGTTAACCCAGACATATTATGATGTAGATCAATCCTGAAGGTAATGATTACCCAGACATATCATGATGTAGATCAATCTTGAAGGTAATGATTAACCAGTTAACCCAGACATATTATGATGTAGATCAATCCTGCAGGAAATGATTACCTAGATAACCCAGACATATTATGATGTAGATCAATCCTGAAGGTAATGATTAACCAGATAACCCAAACATATTATGATGTAGATCAATCCTGCAGGAAATGATTACCTAGATAACCCAGACATATTATGATGTAGATCAATCCTGAAGGTAATGATTAACCAGACATATCATGATGTAGATCAATCCTGCAGGTAATGATTAACCAAACATATCATGATGTAGCTCAATCCTGAAGGTAATGATAGACGGAATTCCTGGACAGGTTAGAAACTGGTCACACTCGGTGTGTACATAGTGTTGTAGTTCTTAACACTTGCTTCAATAATCACGGCTCATGATGTCAATCACTGGATTATCTGGTCCAGACTCGATTATTTACAGACCGCCGTCATATAGCTGGGATATTGCTGAGTGCGGCGTTAAACAACAAACAAATCATAATCATTCAACATAATCAAATGTTGAAAAAGTGTTACAACGTTTATGAGATCATTAACAGAAGACATATTGGCGTTCAGTATTTAAACACCTTAGTTGCTTAAATGGTGTGCTGGCGTTCGAGGTTAAATATTTACTTCATTTTTTCTCCATATATGTTTCGGTTGTCATCTACTTGCTGTGAAGACGGCTAGATGTTCCTGTACCTTTGGTCAGAGTGATAATTGTGGCCACATCACTTGTGTTACGCACTAGATAACAAACTACAAGTTTTTTTGCGTAACTGACATTCAAGACGATGTCTACAAAACTTCACTTCCGAAAACATGGCATCTTCCAAGAGGAGAAACACTTAAGGGAGCTCAGTCAGATGTTATTGTTGTTCAAGGGTATGACACTGACAACCCTACTCGTGTCACTAAAGGTGTTCAATATTACCTCAACAATCCTTCACAATGACCTCCACCAACAATCACAAACTTAGTTAATTCACTTAGCGACATTAGGCCGGGTCTGTTACTTCAGTCAGTTGTTGTACCAGACTCTAAGTCCGAAGTGTTAACATAGCTTTGGCACATTTTCACGGGTGGCTAAGGCGCCGCGATTCGCTGTGCAGAGTTGCGTCCCTTGGGCACGCCAGAAACCTATGGTTGTGGGTTCGAATCCCGGTTCGCCCCGATTATGTTTCTAGGTTTGTCAGCACCATACCCGTGCTCGTGGGTTTCACCGAAGTGGTAAACGTCTGAGACCTGCATCACTTCGGGCTTTCCTCCCACATT